CAAGATAAATACAAAAATTGGAAATTTAAAACCCTGCAAATAGGGATCGTAAAAAGTAAAGAAACAAGGCTGGAGATACTGTATACATTATTTACTCAAACTACAAATCACTATTTTGGCTTCACGCTCTTACCCAGAATTACATTTGGTGGAGTCAAAATAGGAATTTGTAGTCTGAGTAAATAATGTCTACAGTATCTCCAGCCTTGTTTACTTGCTTGTTTACGATCCATATTTGCAGGTTTTTAAATTCTCAATTTTTTATCCGTCTTGTTTTCTGGCGTTTTTATTTTCAACTATGAGCAAGTGGTTACTAAATATGTTAGCTAACTTTATACATTGTAATGATAATAAACATAGCTAGTAGCTAGCTGATACGGTTCATGGTGATTTACTGTAGTTATTGACTATTTCATGAGTTCGAGATGGAAAATTTAAATTTTAAGCTGCAGCTGGAGATTGTCATGGAGATTTGTTTGAGAATATAGTGAGTATTTATAGCTTCTGTATGACTAAATTTTCCATATATAATGCACAGCAATGGGCAAATATATGCTTAGGTTAAGACACAACCACCTCTAAGCAGAAATAAAATTTTACCAGTAGAAAAGCAGCCTTTAAAAAAACATATACGTCTAAACATCGCTTTAAATAAACCTTCGTGTCTTTTAAAGTAATTATTCTACGAATGTGTGTAATAAAATTTAATATTATGTGTATTGATTATTTTTACTCCTTCACTTAATACATAATATAGGGGTTGGCTTCCTAAAGACACCGATTGTATAGTGTACAAAGCATTGAGTATGTTACAGTCATATAACGGTCACCTATTATTGACTGTTAAATCCTGTTTCACCTTGTACTTAAGCTTTTTAAAGGAACACCAGATATTTGTAAAAAAAAAAAGCTAACTTCAAGGGGTTTACACTAGAATTATTATGTTTTTTAGGTAATGTAAAATTTAGAAGAAACAAATAGAATATTCAATAGCCCTACAACCTTCGAAGTACCTTATTTAGTATTCTACAAAATGTTTGGGGCAATATATCAAGCCGTTTTTGTTGTAGGCTGGCAAGAGAATAATAATAATAAGGAGAAGAATTACAAACCGTTTTGAGCGGATTTTCTTTTCCTTGTAAGTCTAACATGCGTGATTTTTTGTGCATTTTTATAAGTGTACAGGCTTAACAATCAATAGTAAAGGTTTTTAAGTGTTGTTTTAACTGAATCTTTACTTTTAAGGTGCTTTTTGGCCCGAACATTCCTTTATTGTTTTGTGCAATTCCCTGTGATCCCTACTATGAACCACATGATGACTTTTATACTAGTAAAAACTTTCTGGCATAATGTCAATATTTAGGAAACATATATCAAATTTTAAGCTTATTAATAATAAAATGATCTTCCTTTTCTCAATTATTACTTGATTTAATTACATTTTTAAAACGAAACTTACTAACTCACAATGTTATAACATCTCTCTGTTGACTATTATTTTTATATATATAAATAAACATTAATTTTAATTAGTTCTTTTACCTCAAGTCTTTTACAGCGATTGTTACTTTTCTTGGGTTCGATAGCACTTTATTTTTCCCCTTTCTTATTTTCTTGTTATTTGATCTTTTCCATTCTGTGTCTCTACAATTTGTTTCAATTCCCTCCTGCATAGTCCTTCCGTCTATTTTTAGACAAAATTTATGAAATTCTAACCCAACCTAATTTCGCGGACATTATGATCGATTTTTGTGTAAAATATGATGCATGAGGCAATTCACGCCTTTACTAGCGCGCACGTATTATCTTGTTCTCGTTACATGATAAGAGCATAACACACAAGGACCTCGCGTTCCTTGTTGACGATGATGAATAAACTTACAGAACCTACTTCTCTTTTTTACTTGTTTTTAATGAAGAGACGCCAAAAGGTTACAGTGATTATGTTAAATCCTAGGCCTCTTTAATAATATTTCCAGAATTGTTGATCGCACTTTTTAAAGAATGGATTTGCGAATCATGGGACAGCATACGACATATTTATTACTCATGTTTTGGTTTATGGCGAATGGCCGAAAGTACAACGCCTACAGGCTCATTTTTTGGTTGGACGATATAACACAACCCCTTGCGAGACTACTAAATGATTCTGAGCCCCTCCCCCTTTAAGAAAGTAAGAAGCTATGACAGCATAACTCCATGCCAGTCTAAAGCAACGTTCTAGGCTGCAAAAGTGAATGCGATGGTTACGATAAAGAACCCTCTGACTCGAAAAAGCCATTGCAAAGAAGTTGAGTATATATCTCCCAAAATCATTAAAAATGTAATAAACAAGGATCTCAAGCTGGCGAAGGCTCACACGCAAAAGTTTCACAAGATTTTAGCCACACTTTGAAATTAACAGCTGTTTCAGATGAGTAAAAAAACTGGAATTATACCAAGTCTATTCGACCACAAACTTTCCAAGTTTCTCGATACACCTCCAATGTACTTTCGTGCCTTTGGTCTGTTTAAAACATGATATTCGAAACTGGTATCCTCGTACAGTGTTATCTCTGTGGAAAGTTTGTCAAGATATGTGGTCTAAGATTGGCTTTGTAAGGTTTGTCAAGATATGTGGTCTAAGATTGGCTTTGTAAGGTTTGTCAAGATATGTGGTCTAAGATTGGCTTTGTAAAGTTTGTTAGGATATGTAGTCTAAGAGTAACTTTGTTAAGATATGTGGTCTAAGAGTAACTTTGTAAAGTTTGTCAAGATATGTGGTCTAAGATTAACTTTCTAAAGTTTGTCAAGATATGTGGTCTAAGATTGACTTTGTAAAGATATGTGGTCTAAGATTGACTTTGTTAAGATATGTGGTCTAAGATTGACTTTGTAAGGTTTGCCAAGATATGTGGTTTAAGACTGACTTTGTAAAGTTTGCCAAGATATGTGGTCTAAGATTGACTTTGTAAAGTTTGCCAACATATGTGGTCTAAGATTGACTTTGTAAAGTTTGCCAAGATATGTGGTCTAAGATTGACTTTGTAAAGTTTGCCAAGAT